GAATTATATGTTTGAAAATTTTGTTGAAACGAATAACAGACCTCAACTATATACCTGTGTTTTATTTCCGCTTACGCTCACACTTAAACTTTTGCAAAATCCTTAGAATTTTTGCATAAGATCTCACTATAAGATAAACTCATAACTTCTTCCAGAAAAACTTCACAGATGATTCAAGTAGATTCTAAGCAGCGAGACACATCTCAGTCTAAAAGGTTACTTTAAACTAGATGTGTTCCTTTCCCATGTACACTTACTTCTCGCCCGGCTTTGGTTAAGTGGATAGTTTCATTGGCCTGTGGCAAGTCAGAGCTTTGGACAGTTAATCATAAAACCGATTACTTAGAATTGATAAGTTAACCTTAATTTCTCTGCGCAAGAACTTATTTATAGTTTCTTCCAGCTGATGCTGCAAAGTACAGTTTACCCAGTTATATGCTTGTCTATTGCTACTAATTTGATAAAACTTATTTTATTAGCATCACAAAAACTCCAAGCCTCAAAAGAAGTTTACCAGTATCCTCTCAGTCAAACAGATAAAGTACAAATGAACGGACATACGTTCAGAGAGATTAAGCGGATCGCTGTGTACTTTGGTATGGTAAATTCAACAGAAGAGGAAGTGAGCTTTGCTGGATGTAATGCAGGGTAGGACATAAAAAAGAAGTAAAAAAGTTGAGGAAAAGAAGGTAGAGAAAAGGAAAAGTTTAAAAAATTAAAGCTTTTACTTCTTCGAATTTTCTTGAACGACTAATAAAATCTTCAAACACAAATAAGCCATGAGCTACTCACATATATGCCAAAACCGCTCATTATTTTTAGACAGGCACTCACCTCATCTCCAGACGCATTTCTAAAAACGGCTTCGCTCAATGCATTATCCAACCCGATTTCATCGACAATTTGAGACCACTGTGCTACCCTGTAACATATTCAGATCAAAATCTTTTGCTGTAATATGCAACGATGAAATATGTGTTCTTTAAAACTAACCCCAAACGTTCCCAATTTCTCGATTGGCAAAAGTCCAATAATGCATGTGCACCTTCAATAGCTGTACGACGACCTGGTGATTCGGCGTTTTCCTCAACCGCTTCCAAACGAGCACTCGGTGTTTTGAGTACGGTAAA